CGCCTGGGAGAGCCCAAGCTGACCTCCAAGATGGCTCAAGATACCCCTAGATGCCTCAAGATGGCTCCCACGATGCTCCAAGAGGCCCCAAATCCGCTCCAAGACGGCTCCAAGTGGCCAAAGAGCTCCCCTGGGAGGCCCCGAAGAGGCCAAATCCTTACAAAACTGTAGGACATCCATGTATTTAGCTTTCTCGCCATGTCGCTTCCGATGGCCATCCAAGGTTTCAAGATGGCCCCAAGATGACCCAAGAGGGCTCCAAGAGCGCTCCCAAGGCTCCCAAGAGCGCTTCAAGAGGGCCCAAAGAAGCGCCCAGGAGGCCCCAGGAGGCCCAAGAGGCCTCCAAGATGCTCCCAAGAGACCCCAAAGAGGCCCCAAGAAGCTCTCCGAGGCATCCAATACGTTCTAAGAGGCGCCCGGGACCGCCAAGAGGCCCCCAAGACGCTCCAAGAGGCCTCCACTGGGGACCTTTCCTCTGTGCGCTGCCCACTTCCCTGATCGAAGCAATTCCTCTGGGCATCGTTTCTGGATGGGCTGGCGGGGGTACTTTTTAGTCAGCGGCCGCGGGCGAGCGCGCCGGCGGCGAGTCAGGTCAAAGCGGGCTACGCAGAGACTAATCAGACAAAGGAAACACGGGAAAAACAAATACAGAGCAACGCGCGAGGCGACGGCTAAGCGCGGCCGAGGCCTCAGGTGGGTGGCTGAGGGGACTGAGACTGAGGGGAACTGCCAGCGTGCCAAGTCCGTCGGAGGCGCCAAACGTCGGAAAGTCAACGACGGCCAGGGACAACTCCGAGAGAGAAAGCGCGATACCGTACCTCGGACGACTGCGTGGGCACCAGGGTAACCGTGGCCAACGAAACTTCGGTCGAGGAAGAGAAACGCAAAGGCGAGGCCCCGGACGTCACGAAGCGCGAGAACCAGGGTGGTCCAAAGGACCGTCGGCCAAGGAATTGTTGCAAGAAGGCGAAAGCGTTAGCAGGATGCAACCCCCAGGGTGGCGGAAGCCGAGGCTGGTGGGGTTACGCGAAGCGTCTAGAATGACAAATTGTTTCGCCTGCATCCTGGGCCTTCCCGAAATGGTTTTTCTGGAGGGGGTAAGGTCGGATAAGGAATCCAAGCGGCAACGCGATTTCCCCCGCTAATTTCCTCCGTTGGAGGGCGGGTGGGTATTCAAGACAAAACAAACACAACTCCCCGCGGGGCGCGCCGCCCAAACGGCGGGGGGGTCAGATAAATCAGAAATGGATTTCCCCGAGAAGTGGCCGAAGGGGGATTGGGGGCCGTATATCCTGTCGCCCATGATCCTGAAGCTTGAAGTTGTTCAACGGTATCAAGGATGGAAGGCGGATGGTCTTCAATATGTGGTTTTCGCCTGAGCGCCGCGCACATTCGTCTTAAAAGTTTGCAGCGGAGGGCGGTCCGATAGTATGACTATCGCCATGTTTGCAACAGCTTCAAGGATGGAGGGCGGTTCATGTTCAAAATGCTGCTCTTGTCTTTGCGCCGCACACCAGTTGCAATCATTATGGTTGTCGTCCCAGGTATGGTGTTATGGCATTATTTACGATTGCCAAGGCTCAACAGTCACGTTGATTCGCACCGTTAGTTCCAAGAACGGTGTTGTAACACGACTGGGGATCCTTAGATAAGTGTCCTCGAGAGGGCATTTCCCACAATGAAGACCAATTCCTCTGGGGACCTATGAGGAGGGAACTTGGAGGAAGAGATAATTGCAACATGATTGATGCAGCTTGCACGGGTCCTCCTCCTCCTCCTCCTCCTCCTCCTCCTCCTCATCATATCATCATCATCATCATCATCATCATCATCAGCAGCAGCAACATCATCATCATCCTTTTCCTCCTGATTAACCAGAGGGTGTCCGCCCTCGGCGAAGTGGGCCGTACCCTCTACTACCCATCCAGGGGACGGGTTGCTCCAATCTTGCGATATGCCGCCGAGGGGCCCAAGGCGCGTCCCAGGAGGTCCGGATCGAGGACGAACGCTGGCCGCGACTCCTGGAGGCTTGGTCGGTAGGGCTTCTGTGGTTTTCGGGGTCCCCTACACCCTCCTCGCGACCGCTCCCAGAGACCGCACCCCTGAAGAGGCCGAGACCGCCCCAAGCGAGCTCCGAGACGACCTCGAGACTCGACCACGGTCCCGAGACCAGGCCACAGGGACCTAGAGAACCTCCCAAAGCTCTCAATCACCTCCGCGAGGGCCCATCCAGGAGGCCTCATGAAGCAGAGGGTCATTCAGGAAGGCCTCCAGCGAGGCCCTGGGAGGCCCAAGCCTTGCAGAAACGAATGGGTTCCGGCGTGCTTTGAGTCCGTGGCCTTCGGGCCAAGCTGCCCGCGCGAAGGCTTCAGGAAGCCCCCCCGAAGAAGCACCAGCACGGCCCACAACTGGCAAGACAGCCCCGCAGGTGAGCACGAGATCGCCAGGACGACGGCCCAGCGGCCCGTCCAAAGGGCACCGCGATGGCTCCGCCTGTCCGATAGACATCGGCAGAACCGTGACGCCCAAGACGGCCCCGAGAGCCCAGACAGACTCCCGAGGGCTCCTCCGTGGAGGAACAAAAAACGGCACAAACATGACCTTTCGGAGCTCCGCGTGGACCGTTATGATGATGATGATGATTAGTAGTATGCTTCTTCTTCGACAGGAGCCCCCGAGCGCACGCCAGGATAGCCCAAAATCGGGGAGACGAGAAGGTGGAGCAGGGATTCTTTCTTACTCGGCGAGGTGCCCATCGGCTGCCACGGGGAGTGCAGGAAGTTTACAGCTTGGCTGGACCCACGAACTATTTCCCTTGCTGGTGAAGGTCAGCCCGAGCCATGTCAAACCGAAAGGAGATCTTCCAACTCGTCCTCCTCGTCCAGACGCAGAGCAGCTGCGCGGAGTTACCCTCCGAGCGCCAGAGCGCTGAGCCGCCTACGGCGCCGCCCCTGGGACGGCTTCGGGCCACCTTCGCGCCGTCTTCGGGGCCCCCTCGGGGCCGCCAAGAGTTCAGGCCCGTGGCCGCCATCTCAGACATCCTGCCGGCGGCGACGCTCCTCCTCCTCCTCCTCCTCCTCCTCCTCCTCCTCCTCATGATCATCATCACCATCATCATCATCATCAACATCATCATCGTCAACAACATTGTCGTCATCATTAATATAATAATCATAATGATAATAATAATAATAATAATAATAATAATAATAATAATAATGATAATAATAATAGTAATACTAATAATAATAATGATACGAATAAACAATGATAATAATAAACAATGAAAATAATAACAATAATTAAAATAATAACAAAAAAAAATACTAATGATAATAAAAATAATAATAATAATAATAATAAGCATCATCATCACCATCATCACCATCATCATCATCATGAGCAGCAGCATCATCAGCATCATCATCAAAATCATCATCATAATCAAAGTCAGCATCATCAGCAGCAGCATCAGCATCACCAGCATCATCATCAGCCGCATCATCATCATCATCAGCATCATCATAATCTAAATCAGCATCGTCATCATCACCAGCATCAGCAGCATCATCAGCAGCAGCAACATCGTCATCATCAGCATCGGCATCAGCATCATCAGCATCCTCAGCATCATCATCATCATTAGCATCATCAGCAGCAGCAGCATCAGCATCGTCATCATCATCTCCATCAGCATCATCATCATCATCAGCAGCATCATCATCATCAGCATCATCAGCATCATCATAATCTAAATCATCATCGTCATCATCACCAGCATCAGCAGCATCATCAGCAGCAGCAACATCGTCATCATCAGCATCGGCATCAGCATCATCAGCATCCTCAGCATCATCATCGTTAGCATCATCAGCTTTAGCATCATCATCAGCAGCAGCAGCATTAGCATCGTCATCGTCATCACCATCATCATCAGCAGCATCAGCATCATCATCCCAAGCATCAGCATCAGCATCAGCATCAGCATCATCATCATCAGCAGCATCAGCTTCATCATCAGAATCATCAGTAGCACAATCACCATCATCAACATCAGCAGCAGCAGCATCAGCATCATCATAATCAGCATTGTTAAGATCATCATCATCATCATCATCATCAGCATCAGCATCATCATCCTCATCGTCATCATCATCACCACCACCACCACCATCATCATCATCAACATCATCATCACCATGATCATCTTCAGCATCAGCATCAGCAGCATCAGCATTAGCATCATCATCATCAGCACCAGTATGATCATCATCAGCAGCATCATCAGCAGCAGCATCAGCATCAGCATCAGCATCATCATCAGCATCAGCATCATCTTCGTCATCCTAATCATCATCACTATCACCATCAGCAGCATCATCACAATTATCAGAATCATCGTCATCATCACCATCGTAATCAGCATCATCACCATCATCATCATCATCATCATCAGCACTAACATCACCACCAGCACCATCACCATCGACAACATCATCACCATCACCATCAGCACCATCATCATCTTCATCAGTGTCGTCGTCAGCGCCATCGTGATACTCATCGTGATCAACTGCGTCATCGTCAGCATCAGCAGCAGCATCATGATTAATATCCTCAGCATCATCATCATCATCAGCATCGTCATCATCATCGTCATCATCGTGGTCATCGTCATCGTCAGCAGCATGATCATCAGCACAATCAGCATCATCAGCATCATCAGCATCACCATCAGCATCATCACCATCATCATAGTAATCGTGACCGTCATCATCGTAAACATCCTCCTCCTCATCATCAGTAGCATCCTCCTCAACCTCATCCTCATCCTCATTATCACCTTCCTCATCATCATCAGAATCATCATGTTCATCATGATCGTTATCCTGCTCTTCCACCTCATCCTCCCGCTCCTCCGCCTCATCCTCCCACTCATCCTCCGCGCCCTCCCGGGCTGGAGGGGCAAAAGCGGCGGCGTCTGGATGGTTGGGGCCCTCCTTCACGAGGTACTGCACGAACTCCTCGAAATTGATATTCTTCCGCGTGGAGGAGCCCTGGGCGGGCAGGTGAGCAAAGAGGCAGGGCATGCTCTCCTGTCATCCCGAAGATGACCAAGGAGTAGCCCGCCCTTCTGCGCACGACTTCCTCACACAGGATTTCACCAGTTAGTCTTGCCCGTGGTTCGTTTCGATTGGAGCGCTTCCGGTGTCACAAAATGGTGCTGCCGCTGCAGCGTTGGCCTCAGTTTCGGATCGGCGACTTGCTCCCGTCGTTCGGAATGCAACTCTCGCCCCAGCGCGGACCATTTTACTGGATTTAAGGTCCTTCCATTTAGTTATCGCCCCCTCCTATCCCCTCCTCCTCCTTCCCTTGGCCCTCCTCCTCCTCCCGTTCCTTCATCTCCAGTCCCGCTGCTGTTGTTTGTCCTCGTCCTCCTCCTCTTCCCCCTCCCCCTCCTCCTCCTCCTCCTCCTCCTCCTCCTCCTCCTCCTCCTCCTCCTCCTCCTCCTCCTCCTCCTCCTCCTCCTCCTCCTCCTCCTCCTCCTCCTGCGAAGTGCGGGCGCGAAGGCGGTGCCTCCGCCGAAGCCCGCGCGCGCGCGGCCGCGGCCGCGCCCGCCGCGCCGAGCGGGCGCCCGCAAGTGCACGCGAGGCAAGACGTCGAACGAGCGAGCACACGCGGAGCACATGCAAGGACCCCCGCCCCCAACAGGGAAGACCCCAGGGCCTCCTGGGCCTCGGGGAGACGTCGACGGAGGGGGACGGGGCGGGGTCCCGACGAGACGCCGAGGGAGGAGAGGAAGGGGGGGCCTCCAACGTGCTCAAAGAGGGGGGGACGGGGCCCCAGGGGGCCTCTGGACGGCCGCGACGCCCGCGGCCCGCCGCGGACAAGGATTTAGAAGTGGTCATCCGTCTCGCCCCCCTCGGCAGCCTCCAGCACCCCCCGAGACCTCCTTTGGGGGGGTGGGCACGCTCGCCGCCGAGGAGTAGCTCCCGACCCAGAAGGACGGGCAGCAGGAGGCGCTGCCGTGCTCCTGATGGGTGTCGCCGAGCTGTTGGCACGCGGGCCCCGCGTATGGGCCTGCGCCGAGGCCGACGTGGCCCGCGACGCCTCTCGCCGTGGACGAGCCGCGGTGCGAGGCGGCGGTCCTGGTTGCGCTTGGGCGTCGCGACCTGCGGTCGTCCCTGACCTCCACCCTTCGCCGCCAGCGGCGCTGGGGAGGCCAGGGAGGCTGCCACCACCCTTCGGAGCTACACGCTGCGGTGGCCAAGCCTGCAAAGATCGCCGCCTCGAGATGTGGCGCGCTGTAGAGGTCCAGCGAGGTGCCGAGGTGCAGCGCGGTGCCGTCGGAGTCCAGAGTGTTGCCGCCGGAGTCCATCTGGTCGGCACAGTTCTCGTTGTAGCAGTACTCGTCCAAGAAGCTCGCGTGCTGGCCGAACCTCATCATGTACTGTACGAGCTGCCACCGAACGAACTGCTGCCAACATGTTGTCGGCCTGGCTCCGCTGCCCCGTCCGTGTGCTGCCGTATGTTTGTCATCAACTCTGTCGTGCGCGTCAAGCGCTTCATGTTGACCAGGTGCATCAGCTCGGGGATTGCTGGCCATCGTAGTTTTCTGTCGTCCACTGAGAAAGGAATGTCATAGGCGACGCAGGCGTAGACGATCGGTATAGTCGCTCTTCTGGTGTTCGAAGTTGGCCAACCCTCTCGTCCGTTGGCTAGTCGACGTCTTGCCCGACGGTTGGTGGCAGTCGCGCAAATACCTGTCGGCGTGGGCGGTATCAAGTATCGTGCTGACGCTTATTGCACTCACCTCGCCTTCCATGATCGCCCAGAACCACCATCTGTCAGCCGGCATGGTAGAGTTCGTGTTGCTGTTGTCATGGCTTCTGTCGGTGCTGGCTGGTACTGCTAGAGCACACATGGATCGGGTGTCTGCTTCCAGGCTCACTCCGAGTTGTGCCCACAAGACTCCGCTGAAGCGCTCGGCGTCGGTGAAAAGGAGGATGTCTTTGGTGCCCGCCGTCACATGCTTGGCCCCTTCACTCGTCAAGCTGGACTCGAGCAGCGTGTGGCAATTGGAGATGAGAGCGGGCACGGGTACTTCAACTTCCCTAGGGCGACCGCGGTCCAAATCCAGGGCAACTCTGGCTCCGCTCCCCCCCCCCAGGCCCTCTCGGGAGTTCCAGGTCCGCTACGGACGCGCGTCCGCCGAGAGAGACAACATGCGCAGGGGGAGAGGATGGATGGCACGGGTGATCAGGAAATCAGAGATGGCGCGAGCGCACCTGGCTTGACCCGCCCCCTCTTCCCGTCTCCCCTTAAAACAGGGCTAGGATCGGGATAAATCGCTCCAGAGCGTTCCGGAGCGCTCTCAGAGCGTTCCGGAACGCTCTGGAGCGGCCGCGGCGCCCAATACATCCTCCAGACCCGCCGGTTCTCAGAGATTTCGAGTTATCCCGATCCGATGTTGTCCCGATCTTCGCGTCGTTTTATGACCCGCCCCCTCTTCCCGCCTCCCCTCTCGGGCCCCCGCTCGCGGCGCCCCCTGCCCTCCCCTCTCGAGCGGCGGGCGCACTGGGGCGGCGCGCGGAGGGGGCGGCCTGTCGACGAGATGGGGGGGGGCCTCTGACAGGGCAGGGGGCGTGTTGGGAGGTCCTCGCGGCTTCCACGATAAAACGACGCGAAGATCGGGACAACATCGGATCGGGATAACTCGAAATCTCTGAGAATCGGCGGGTCTGGAGGATGTATTGGGCGCCGCGGCCGCTCCAGAGCGTTCCGGAACGCTCTGAGAGCGCTCCGGAACGCTCTGAAGCGATGTATCCCGATCCTAGCCCTGTTTTACACGAAGGCCTACTGGAAGCCCCAGGCAGGGAGCCGAACTCTATACACCGACGCCTTTGCCGGCCCCGCACTGACACTTGCACAACAGAGCGGACCGGACCCGGTGTATACGGGATCCTGATGTGTACATGTTTTCGGTGTCTCCATGGAAAATACAAGGACAAAAGTAGACACCACACCACCCCGACTCCCCGACCCTCAAGAAGTCCTGGGATCGAAAAACAGCCCGCCACTGGTAATGTATACAGGCCTCGGAAGAAATTGGCGAACACTCATGCCGCGCGATCAATCTTGGCGGTGGGTTGAATGAGCTGCACGTCGACCGCAGTCTTCCCCGCGCGTGCCATCTTTGAGCTTTCGGGAGCGGGGGAGTGTCCACGAATTCATCACCTCTACCGTGTGCTCCAGTCTCCGACCCAGGCTGCCCGAAGGAGGCCCGTGCCTTCCGAGGAGGCCCCCCGTCTCCTCGGAGGGCCCTCGCGCCACCCTCTTGCGCACGCCGCCGACCTCTGCCTTCCTTTTTGTAGGTCAGGCATGTCCTCCTACAGGCGGATTCGGGAGGGAACAGAAGACACTCGACACAAAGACGCAAACATTGAAAATCGTCGGCAAATCGCCCCCGGGCGATTTTTGACCATCTCTTGCTCCTCCTCCTGCAGAGGGACGTGCCCGACCGAAGCCTCCCTCCCCCGTCGCCTCGGGTCGGGCGACACAGGGGGGTACCCCGAGAGGCCCGGCGCTCCAAGAAAGATTGGCCGGCGGGGTCTGGACAGCTTTGGGCCTCTGGGAGCTCGGGTACAGTCGGGGCGTTGACCTAAGGAGCCCTAGGATAATGAACGAGGTCCCTTTTATCGTAAGTTGATTCCGACTCCCCATGGGAAACATCAGGGAAGCCCGAGGCAAACTGTGAAGCAGTCGAGGAACACCGAGCCCCTCCCCAACGAAAAGGGTTCCTTCTTCAGCGCCCCGACTGTAAGGGGAACAACTACAGAATTGGTTTGCCCCAGAATTGATTTTTCCTGCCGAATCCACGGGCAACTCGTAGAACGTTCGCAGATCTACGAATGGTTGACGTGTTTTTGTTGAAGAGTCGACGTGAAAATCAATTTTGGGGTATTCTGTAGTCGATCCCCCAGTCGAGTGCCTCGGGAGCGTGAAAAAACGACCCGTCATTGCACCGGCCTTGCGGACGTGCTGCAGCGGATTTCTGCGTGGACTTTGCCCGAAGCGGCGAGCGAGAAACGGAGCGAACTTCGCGTGGGTTCTTTTCGGTCTTCGTTCCTGGCCAAAAACTCCGCACGAAACTCACCTCGAGATCCAGAACTGAATTCTCCAGGATACCCTGGGGCCCATCCTGTCGTCTTCCGAACGAAATCCTAAGATGAAGCCAGGATCGGGGCAAAGTTTGACCGGGATAAAAATCATGCTCGCACTTATGGATCCAAAATCGCAGAGCGGATTATCCGCTCTGCGATGTTGGCTCCATAGGACTCGGGACGAAGAGCCGGCCCCGGGGAGCTGGTCCAGACCTCCAGGGCCCACGCATCGTTTTTCTTTCCGCCTTTCCGTTTTTCTTCCGAAAAAATGCTGTTTCAAACCGAAAAGAAAGCACCGATATTTGGGTAAATGTAATCAACCCAGCACTCATGATAGGCTTTTCTCTGAGAAATTCAACGATACAACAAAACAAGAAACTCGGTTGCAATTTGATATGGTGTTTGAGAAACGCCAGCGAAAAAGTTGGAGCAGCTGGACGTCTGGGTTGGCAAAGGGAGGACTGGCGACTCGGCTCATGCAGCTGCCTTTCCCGCGCATCCTGGCACCGGTCGGGTAGTGCAGTGCCCCTGGCCCAAGAGTGCCCCCAGGATTTCTCTGGAGGCCCCCACGGCCTCCAGAGCACCCCTCACGAGGCCAAGGGGGTTTTCTGTGGCAACTCATGGGAGCCTCCCGTATCATCTTGTCGGCCCTTACGAGTCGACGCTAAGCGACGCTGGTCGACGCTCAATCGACGCTAATCGACGCTAGCCGACGCTTGATTGGCGCTATCGCATCGACTTCCAGACGCTGATCCGACGCTAATGGACGCTAAAGACGGAATTACAGGGTACACAACGCTCCCATGATTTGCTACCGAAGGGGCTCATGGGGCTAAAAAGTAGCACGAAAAGCTGGCACCTTGGACCACAGGCACCTTGCACCACCCCCGAACCGGAGGCACCAGTGCATCGAGCAGAAGGCGCTGGGCGCCGGGGCCGAAAAAGCAGCTGCGTGCAGCAGGTGCAAACCGAGCCGAACATCTGGCGTCGTAACTTTGTTCGCTGCGTGGCTCCCCAGAGTTCCGCATTCCTTCTTCGTCGGCGGCGAGGCAGAGGCAGTCCGCTCCCGAGTGCGGCTCTGCGGGGCGACCGAAAGGCGCATTGGCCGGCGTGCAAGAGGAGGGGGGGAGAAAGACGAGAGTGGCCGCGCGGGGGGGAGGGGGAGGGGAAAGCGCTCCGACGTGGAAGAGCTCTGAGTATCGATTCACCGATCCCCATCCCCAGCGGCGTGGCCTGGGCCCCACTGGCCGATTTACCCCCCTTGGATGGGGACATGGGTCGCTCCCTTCGGGTCTCGAGGGGTGCATCCCCAACTGGGGTAACAATCTGGCGGGGGCCTCGAAGGGGATGGGGATGGGGATGGGGCTTGGTTCAACGATCCCGAAGCTCCGCGTCGGCCCAAAGCTCTGCACAAACCTCCCCGGGCACCCCCGAGATCCGATGCTGCCCCAAAAAATGGCAACGTCCCAAAAAATCACGACCAGATCCCCGGACCCCGTCTTTCTGCGTCATGCTTCGAGCCGGATCGATCCGTGAGGGGCCCAGGGCCCGAAGTGGAACGAACACGCCCGGCTCGAAAGAATGGAGTCGCCCCGCCCCGCCCCGAGCCGCCCCGCCCCGCCCCGCGCCGCTCCCGCCCCGAGCCGCCCCGCCCCGAGCCGCCCCGCCCCGCCCCGAGCCCCGACAGGACCTCGGCGCCCCGCCCAAGAGCCGCTCCCTGGCGGCCGCGGGGCCATGGGCCCGGCACGAGCGCCCCCGGGGGGCGAGCGCTGCCAGGGCAAGCCGCCGTGCCACGCGGCGCGGGGGCTGCCCTGGAGGCGGCCCGGGGGCCCCTGGACTGGAGGGGCCCCCAGGAGTGGTACTTTCATGAGGAGGAGGAGGTGGAGGAGGAGGACGACGAGGAGGAGGAGGAGGCGGAGAAGGAGGAGAAGGCGGAGGCGGAGGACGAAGAGGAGGAGGAGGAGGAGCAGCAGGAGGAGGTATAGCCGAGAAGCTCTTCGCGCCTCGCGCCTCAAGATCGGCACCGGAGGTGATGCCCATCATTGAAGGGGCCCAGGGACACACTAATAAATACACGCAGATCCCAGGATGCCCCATATTTTTCCATAGCTTCTGGGTTTCAGTGTTCCCCCCCACCTCCCATAGTTTCCCAAACCTCCCTGGGGATCGACGATTATTTGTGTCCGTGTGCTTCTCTCCCTCCTGAAGGACATCTGTCCACAGGGGGGATGAGAGCCGGCCCTCTCGAGGTCGGTCCCCAGATCCCATCCCGCGGTCCGCCCGCCGCAGCTCCTCTCTGCGCATCGCTTTTTCTGGCAGCCCCGGGGCCCGAACGCGGCCCCGGTGCGCCAAAACCCAGTGCTGGGCCTCCTCCTCCTCCTCCTCCTCCTCCCCCTCCTCCTCCTCCTCCTCCTCCTCCTTCCTTTCCTCCTCCCCCTCCTCCTCTCCTCCGCCTCCGCCTCCTCCTCCTCCTCCTCCTCCTCCTCCTCCTCCTCCTCCTCCTCCTCCTCCTCCTCCTCCTCCTCCTCCTCCTCCGCCAGCCAGGGCCTCCGACCCCTCTCCCAAGTGCCCCTCCCTCCGACCGATCCGGCCCCCCTCCCTCTGGGCGCGCGGCTCCGCCAGCGCCACTTACCACCTCTCACCGTCGCTCGGACGCCCCTTCCCCGTACATTTTTGCGGTTTCGTGCGCTTTCCTCTTCCGCAAGATGGCCCAGGATGCTCCTCGATGGCTCTCGCCGAGGAAAAACGGGGATGGACAGACCCCCTTCAGCAAAACGTGGTTTCGTGAAAACGACCCGAGGCCCAAACCTGGCGGGCGCGAGCCTGGAAAACGGCGGCCACGGCGCCCTCTCGAGCACCGAAAACGGACAATTCCCTAATCGACGTGTCGCTGTTGGGGGCTCTGTCCACCCCCGAGAAATAGGCAACAACGTCCGAGCGAGGCCAAGACCTCGGGCCTCGAGAGGGGGAGGTGCCACCGGTCCCGGGGGAGCCGCGGCCGGGCCCCCGAGCGGGGCCGACGGGGGCCACCGTGCCCAGGCGAGGTCACCCCGAACCAGCGCGAGTGTACAGTCGGACCAGAAGACATCCTCCCAGTCGGGGATCTCCTGACCCGGGTCAATCCAGACCCGGGTCAGTCAGGCCTGCAGGATCCTGCAACCTCCTGCAAAATCCTGCACCCAAACCGGGGTCAATGCGAATGATCCTGCAGGATCCTGCAGGATCCTGCACCCAAACCCGGGTCAATGCGACCCTGGCCCTGCAGGATCCTGCAAGATCAGGCGCTCTGGCTGACCCCCGTTTGCATTGACCCCCGTCTCAAGGCTCCCGACCCAGAACATGCGACCCTCCGCCGGCCAAAACACACAGAGCAGCCGAGGGTACCCTCCCCAGGATGCACAAGAAGAACAGCGTCTCACTTCGGTCCGGCTCTAGTCGTGGTGCTGATGTCTCTGTCAGCGCGGGCCTGGCGGGCGCACAAGCTGGTCGAGCAGCCCGCCACCGTGCCAGCGCGAAGAACGCCAAGTGCGGAGCGAAGGGGCTTTTTCTGGCCAGGAGCCTCGGCGAGAAATCGGTTCCCCGATCCAGGCTTCAGGAACGGCCAGAAAACCAGAGCCCCTCCTGAGCCCGAAGCTGTCCTTGCCTCAGCGTCCTACAGTCGGGGCGTTGACCTAAGGAACCCTACATAAGGAACGAGGCCCCTTTTTTCCATAAGTTAAACTTCGATTCACCATTGAAAACCTAAGGAAAACCCATGGCAAACTGTTAAACAATCAAGGAACGCCCAGCCCCTCCCCAACGAACAGGGTTCCTTCTTCAGCGCCCCAACTGTAGCGGCATGGGCCGCGTCGCGGCTTGCGTGCGGCCGTGCCAAAAAACGTCCACAGCGCTTGCCACGCTCGCCTTTTCCTCTGCACCCGGCCGGCCCTCGCTCTTCTCTATGGGTCCCCCGTCCAGGGGCCTGCATGTTGGACGTCGCCACTGCCTCGAAGGCGTCTTTCAGTTCGTTCTTCCCCATGTGAGTGACCGCCTGCAAAGACTCGATCATGGTGCGGTCTTCCATCACTCTTTCCCTCCACCTCGGATGAGAATAATGGGGAAGACGAGATGAAAAGCGGAGGATGGGGAGAAGGAGGAGGAGGAAGAGGAGGAATTTAACTCGGAGGCCCTCCAAGGCATAACAAAACCTGTCATGTTAGCTGCGTCGAGCCGCAGCTGCCGCCAACTCGCGCTGGCGCACGCGAGCGGCCAGTGCCTCTATACCCGTTGTGGGAATGAGGCGCACGCTCGCAGAGGAGGCGGAGCAAGCAGGTGCCGCACGTAGCAGCACGAACTTGGTCGAGGCAGGGCACGTTGTCCCCTGACCCCGCGGCCACGGTCTCCCCTGAGCTGTAGTGTGGATGGAGGCCGCGCCGAATGCGCGAAACAGCTCCTCTGCAACACGGTCCTGGCACCCCTTTGCAACGCACCGCCAGCTTGAAGCACCGCTCGCTCGAGTAGGCGCCACAACGGAAACAAAGCACGGGCGGCTCACACAGAGCCGTCTGGCGGAAGGCAGTGCACAGGAGGTGACCATGTGAGCACGCTTCGTCACGCACACGGCATGTGGCCGTCGGGGGGTCCTTTGCACCCCTCCATCGGCCGATATGCGCATGAAGACTAGGGTGCAGGGTCATGGCATGCTTCGCCAACCAGTCAGCGCCAGCACGGTCGAGAGCGACCTTGGGCTCATGCGGGGGCAGAGCCTCGATAACTCCTTCAGACCTGTGAGCCTGCACATGGGAAACCGAGGCGGCACATTCCTGCCCATCTTCGGCAAGGGCACGCATGAGGAGGCCAGCAGACACTTGCTGGGGGTCCACTTGCGAGGAGGCCCGAGAGGTGGCCAGGCGAGCCGCCCCGAAACCATCGCCGCGCACGTCCTTGCGGCCCGTCACGAGACAACCAAAGAGTAGCGACGCCAAGATGTTCGCCCGACGGGGCCGTCCGGGGCAAACCAGGCCAAACCGTCCCGAGGACCATGGCACGGATGTCGCACACGTCCCCAGGAGCCAGGAAGACGGCCGCATACGTGGCCCTGTTCAGCTCCCGAAGCACACCTTGGCTCGCTGAACCATCCACCGCGATCTCGCTGTCAAGAGTGCGGCCACAAAACTGCCCAATCGTTAGCGACTCACCTGTAGGCCCTTGCAGGACGGGATCGAGGTCGAGGCACTGAAGGGGGAGGACAGGGCTGAGCCACGATCAACCGGGACCACAAAAGGAGTTGGGCTGGTTCGGCTGCAAGGGCTTGAGCGACCCCCTCCTCCGAGAGGTGCTCGCGCCTGGCAGCAGCAAGCTCGGGACTCTCGCGCAAAAAAACTGGTGATTCACCATGCGAATCGGGTTGTCGGCACAGTGGGCGCAGACCGCCACGCACAGAGCCAGAGGCCTGCAGCCTGTTTCCCGTCCGACATCCTCCCGAGGAGTGATCCGCTTCGCTCTCAGCATGCGTCGCAGTGGATCGGGTGAAACACGATCTGCATCAACATGTGGCAGGGCCTGCGCCATGCGACGCGCATGGGATCTCTGAACTTCTTCCTCCGAGAGCTCACTGACCATGGCAGGGGAGGTATTCAGCAAATCGATGAAGTACCCCCGCTCATCGTGCCAGCACGTAAGTCCCCGAGCTTGCCAACCTATCCGATGCAAGCTAATGAGCATCCTATGTAAGGGGCCTCTCGAGGACTTCCAACCAGCAGATAATGTCGAGCTCCCGAGACTCAACCGTGCCCCTCCAAATCTGGATGCGCTCCGAAACGAAAAAGGGAATTACTGGGCCGGGTAATCGAACGCCAAACACTGGAGGCGCATTCGAGCGCTGGGGCTACCGACTGCTTTCACGCTGGGTCGCCGCGCAGAACAACTTTCGCTGCGAGCGACGCCCCACGACGCGCGGGGTTGCGGCCAGCGAGCAGGGCGCGCCGCATGGCCTTGAGCTCCGCGTCGGAGAGGCCGAGATCTATGGCTCCATAGCCTGCTGCAGATCGCACACCTGCTACGTAAATCTTCGACATCATGGACTTATCACGAGGGAGTTTAACACGATAATGGAATAGGGAACGATGGCGTGCACGCACAGCATTTAGACGTCGACGCCGCTTCACGAGCCCCCACTTGCATCCGGTCCCCTGTCCCGGCGCCAGGTCCGCGCCCAGTGAGACGACGGAGTTGGACGTCGCCGAAGAACATGCTGCTTGCAGTCACCGTGCGAGTCTGCGAGCCAAACCAGGTGCCGAAGCAAAGGTGACAGCCTCGTCCTCCGCGAAGCGCACCTTCAGGCCCCGCTGGAAGACGTCCTTGACATCGTTACCTGCCCTCACAAGTGCTGCCACTATTTCGTCCTCCTCCGCACCCGCCACCAACACCACGTCGTCATCCACGTGCGATCCCGAGGAGACTCGGGGGCTCCCGAGGGTGAAACTGTCGAACTCACACATAGCATAGGTTTCGACAAACACGCCGTCAAAGATGTCACCTGCTGGGGGCCCCGAAGCAGCATAGAGGACCAATAGGGAACAGTTGGGACCCAATCGCAGCGTCCGAGAACCACGCCATAAGCTGTACAGGGTCTTGGCGAGCACCACACAGGGGATCCCTCAGAACGCGGCTCGATCGCGGAGCCAAACCAGGACAAACGACTCAGAGTATTTCATCCCGTCCCATATGAAAACTGCAGTAGTCTTGCCCCGAGAAGAAGCACGTTCCGCATTCATCCTCCCTCCTCCCTCCTCCCTCCTCCCTCCTCCCTCCTCCCTCCTCCTCCTCATCCCTCCTCCTCCTCCTCCGCCTCCTCCTCCTCCTCCTCC